AACTACGTACATAGAAAATCAATTGAAAAATAATCTTTGCGAATTCGTTAGTCACTTTGTTGACGAAATCGTCCAAGTTTTTGAAAATGTGTTGCCTGTGTACACTAGGGTGATTTTTTTTTCACGACAATTTTTATTTTTTCGCTCCCAACTCAAAATCTTGTTGAAAATGTTCAAAAAAAAATTCCCTGAAAATTTGAGCCCTTAATATTAACTCAAAGTACTCGACCAAAGCGTATAAAGATTTCCCATTTAAAATACACGTAAACTTTGATTATTTTTTTTTAAATATCTATATCTCAGCCGCATTTTATGCTATTGGATTGTTTCAAAAAAGGATTTACTCGTAATCAAAAGTTCTACGAAAATGCTTTATGTGCCATAGCTGTAATCTGCACATGTAGGATGGTACGGGTGACTAAATCCTATTTTAGTGAAAAATTATCATATTTTTGAAGATATTTCAAAAGTGACTGGATTCTTTGAAAAAATATAAAGAACAAACTTGTAGAAAATTTAATTTTTTTTAAAAAAGGTCCTATCAGTTGAATCGCTAAGATTGATATTTCTTGAGATATAAAGCGTTTACATTGACAATTTATGAAATTTTTAGGATTTTCGTATCAAACTTTGTATAAATGATGATTTTCAATTGTTTATCAGTAAAATTTCATGTAATTACGTTTTTTCTACAGTCGGGTGATTAGAGAAAAATAAATAACTCAAACAATCTAGCATAATTATTAATAACATAACTTTAAAGAAAAAAGATATATCTAACCTAAAAATTGATATAACGAGGTGTATTACATACAACATGTTATTTTATTAATAATTATGCTTGATTGTTTGAGTTATTTATTTTTCTCTAATCACCCGACTGTAGAAAAAAAGGAATTACATGAAATTTTACTGATAAACAATTGAAAATCATCATTTATACAAAGTTTGATACGAAAATCCTAAAAATTTCATAAATTGTCAATGTAAACGCTTTATATCTCAAGAAATATCAATCTTAGCGATTCAACTGATAGGACCTTTTTTAAAAAAAATTAAATTTTCTACAAGTTTGTTTTTTAGATTTTTTCAAAGAATCCAGTCACTTTTGAAATATCTTCAAAAATATGAAAATTTTCACTAAAATAGGATTTAGTGACCCGTATCATCCTACATGTGCAGATTACAGCTATGGCACATATAGCATTTTTGTAGAACTTTTGATTACGAGTAAATCCTTTTTTGAAACAATCCAATAGCATAAAATGCGGCTGAGATATAGATATTTAAAAAAAAATAATCAAAGTTTACGTGTATTTTAAATGGGAAATATTTATACGCTTTGGTCGAGTACTTTGAGTTAATATTAAGGGCTAAAATTTTCAGGGAATTTTTTTTTGAACATTTTCAACAAGATTTTGAGTTGGGAGCGAAAAAATAAAAATTGTCGTGAAAAAAAAATCACCCTAGTGTACACTCATCATTGCGAGGCCTATGAATCGTGTTTCAGACATGGTGCTCCCCAACCAGGTTTTGATTCTCCTGAGGCTACTGAATGACCTTTTAACTATACAAGTCGTACAAGATAAAGCAACAAGGATCTTCAAAGCCTTCTTAATTTTAGGAAATTTCCACAACACTCAGTTTATCGTTTCAATTATCCGGGTGACTTGTGAGCGTTAACCTCTAGGGGGGGCAGCTGCCCCCCTGCCCCTCTCTGGCGACGCCCTTGCTAGATATTAATATCAGCCAGTTACAAAGTATAACAATTAGTTTACATCAAATAGCCACTAACATCAGTACTTTGGATACTGAAGTTCTGTTAAATTCTACTGATACAGAAATAAACCAAATGGCGGAAAACATTCGTGAAATATATGAAGATGATATTTTAGATAGACTTTCCTATCAATTAATAGCTTTTTAAAAATGTTTTTCTAGCGAACTTAAAAATATTAAGTAAAGGATTTGCTAAAATTTATTATGGTTGACAATTACTCATCCAGTAGCAGCTTTACCGAAATAATAACACTATGTTTTCTACACCTTACAATTCCTGTGACGGTTGAATCGTTCTCAAAACTTAAGTTAATAAAAACGTCAAAATCAATTATCGTCTTTGGCAAAAAAAAAACACCCAGAGGCCCGTGGGTATAGCCTCGAACCCGGGCCCGTTGGGTTGTTGCTACGGCGCTGGCTGTAAGGCTACCATTTACAATGACAAGTTTCGTGCGACCAGTCAAAGAAATACCCCCCAGACCATCAGAGATCCTTCTCCAAATAATGTTTTATGCGAGAAATTACACTGAGCATACCTTTCGTTAGGGTGTCGATTAGGGTGCTTCAAAAAATAAAATGTAATTTTTTTTTCGCTCTTACCCTTCCAAATGTTTCTATTTAATATAAAAAAAAATCCTCACCAAATATGGGCGTTCCAGCTCAACTCTAAGAGGTCGCTGTTTTTATTTTAGTTTCCCATTTAATTAACATGGGGAAAAAAATTTTATGTTTGGAATTGTATACCTCTGTATCAAAGTAACTTATGGCAATGATCATTGCAGTTTCTTATATAACGCTCTACAAAAAAGGTCTCTTATTATTTTCCGATAAATTGATTTCTTCTAGAATTATCCGAGGTCAAAGTTTAATTAACATCAAATTTTCTGGTTTTTTAATTTTATGGTACAATTAGCAGACGGGAGGTGAAAGGGGGCAAACAATGCAGCGGGGGGGGGGCAAATGGGGTACCCAAAAAATTTCGTAAAAATTTTTTTTTTTTAGATTTTTTTTTTGGTTTCTAAATTAATTGAAAATTGACTTACAAGTTCACGCTTTTAATCGAAAATAATTATTCTGAGCCTGTAGAGCGAGAAAAATGATGGTACAATTTTGGAAAACTTTTCATATGCTCAAAGAAACGTTTAAATCGGACAATTGGTTTAGACAAAAATTTACTTAAAACTTTTGGTTATTTTTTGGTGGTGCATTAATTTCTTGGAGAAGTGTATATGACTCAATATGACTCTTTTTTTATATACAGGGTGTTTCGGATTTAATTCAGGAAAATTTAGTAGTTAATGGAACCCAAAAAGTAAGAAGAATAGTTTATGTAAACTTGTATGTTTTAAGTAAAGCTTTGTTTTCAAGATACAGGGTGGTAAAGTTATTAAAAAAATATTTTATTTGTTGAAGTTGAAGTCGAAGTTGAATAACTCCTTTGCCAAATTTAATAAAACTTATCAGGTATTTGTAATGTGCAAAGGGGTTAATTTAATTTAGTTTATCCAGTGGCGGCACTAGGGCATCCCAACTACATATTTAAAAGTGAATTTTGGGTAACCTACTGCTTTTTTATAAGTTTAATATTCTTTTTAGATTAAAATTAAAATTAAAAATAAAACTTTTTTATCTCATTTTTTCTCTTTCTTGTTTAATTTTCAAGAAAAAAAATTGAGATTGTTTATTTGTTTGTTATGGTAATTAACTAATTTTTTTCTTGAAAATTAAACCAGATGGAGAAAAATGCAGGACACAAAAAATTTGTATGGTTAATTTCTTATTCTAAATATAATATCAAAGTCATAAAAAAGCAGTGACAAGACCATAATTATTTGTATTTATCAAAACTGTTCTTATTTTTGTTCTTTTGACTTTTTCTTAATAAAATGTATAATATAATATTAATTCATATGTCACAATATTTAAAGTCTGATTTCTTGGGTAAAAATTTGGATATAAAGAGACAGGTTTTTAAATTTATCTTGGATATAAAGATAACTTCTTACTTGTATGGTGCACATTTATATTTACTTTTATCCAAAAGTAAGCTAAGTTAATTAGCTAGCTAACTGATCAGCTTAGGTAATTTAACCGGTTAACTAAATTAGCTTAGCTAATTAGCTGGCGGCTTAACCGCGGTTAATCTAGCTTAGCTCGGCTAATTAGCTAACGGCTAAACGGTTAATTTTTTTTAAGCTATTTATTGATTTAAATAATTCAAACAATTTTTATAAATAAAAATAAAATGTAAAATATTATTTAATCTAATAAATTACTTTATTATTGTTTGTCATAAAAGCACCATCAATATATTTTTTTAAACCTGTCCGTAAATAAGAAATCATTATATGGCTTTAAAAAAATTAGCCGGTTAGCCGTTAGCTAATTGCTAAGCTAAGCTAGATTAACCGGTTATGTTACTTTTTAGCCGGCTTAACCGGCTAAATTGTACAGCCCCAAAATAGGCATGCCCAACAAGGACGGTACAAATTATAATCACATAAATTGATTTGAATAGCATTTAAAATATTTAAAAAATGTAATGAATTAAATATTTTTGGGGCAATTTATTTTAAATGGTTTGACCTTAAACTCCAAAAAAATGTGCCTGTAGCGCATTTTTTCTACGACAATGAGAAGGCCCTTGGTTTTTTTCTATATCAAGGTCCGACACGGCTCTCGACGGGCCTTAATATAAGCAATATAGTATCAAAAAATATGACTATTAATAAGCCCAAGGATATATTAACATTATATTACACATTATAATGTTAATATTATAATAGATGGCTTTAATTATATCATTTTATATAAATATAGTTCTTCTATATTTTTAGAATATTCATATCTCATTAAAGAATTAAAGAGCTTGTGACAAATTTATTGTTTAGCGCTATTTTTTAATCTTTTTAAACAGTTCTTCCTAGAAACTAATTAATGTTTAGTAAGTAACTAGGAATTTTTTTTTCTGATCAATACATTTTTTACTTAACATCTTTTCCCCAGATGTCTTTAATTGTGGAATCTCATCCATTTATATTTGTGCATTATAAAAACACAAATTTTATTAAAAATTTTCCCCAAAATTAAAATATATTAATTATTGTCTTTATTACAAAATATGTTAGAAATTCTAACAAATTTTTTAATATAGACTATATAACTTGAAACATGTTAAAATCATGCAATTTTTGTGTATAGAATATATTTTCTTTCAACAGCCCATCTTTTTAAACCGCACGCTATGGTACATGAAACATCGAATGTCCAGGAGCCATAAGAGCCGCGAAAATTTCAAAATAAATTCTTTGTTAGAGAAAATATCGGCCAAGAGAGATTCTATATCAATACAACCTGGCTACATAAACTTAACGTTTTTGGGTTTTACAAATAGAAGTTTAGATTGTAAATCGGATATTGCTCAAGTCGAAACGGTATTGCTTAAAATAACTCACAAAAAACGTAAAGACAGTTCCGCCCCTAGCATGCAAGTGATTCTAGGAACGGCCGACGTGCCAATAAACCCCAACGAGGATCAGCTGCCCCTAACGGCACCAACCATAAGCATTCCTACCGAGTCGTTCAACGGGTCCAGCGGTCCTCTCGTTAAATCCTACATCCTCTTGTTCAGAGTCAAAATAGGAATGGATAAGGACGACGAAGAGGAACCTGCGTTGAAAAAACGCAAATCGAACGGAGTTGACAATAATAACTGCAAAATTTATGGGGCCGAGCTTACAGTCTACGATAAGCATAGCAGATGTTACTTGAGCGATGGCGATTACGATGTGATCGTCCAGGATTATTCTGCCAACACTAAAAACGCACCAAAAAAATACTCCAGCTGGGAGAACGTGGACGACTTGGTCGAAACCTGCGGTAACCTGGAATCGTTCATGAAAGGCGCCGTGCTCAGATTCAAACTGAACTGGTCACCCGAGGCGAGCGCCAAAATAGTCGACCGGCCAAAACCTTACCCTCTAGTTGAAAACAAAGAAAACATTCCAGTTGCCAACGGAAAAACCCCGGATAAACTCCAAATAGTCTACCAGTTCGTTTACAACAATAACTCGAGGCAACAGACTGAAGCCTGCGAAGATTTGCATTGCCCATGGTGTAGCTTAAATTGCGATCAGCTATACACTTTACTTAAACACCTGAAACTTTGCCATTCAAGATTTACCTTTACTTACGTGCCTATAACGGTCGGAGCCAGGGTGGACGTCGGCATAAACGAAATGTACGACGGATCGTACACAGGATCGCCTCACGACCTGATTTCTCAGCCTTCCGTGTGCGCTTTTTCGAGAAACGGACCCGTGAGAAGAGCATCCGTCACTCACATCTTAGTGTGCCATCCCAAGAGACCGAAGCCCAGCTTATCGGAGTTCCTCGAGCTAGACGATTGCGAGTATGATGGACAAAGGCCTTTTATCACCGGCCACAACAGACTGTATCATCACACCACCACTTGCTTGCCGATATACCCTAAGGAGATGGACAACGATTCCGAAGGCGAAAACGATCCCGAATGGCTGCGAAACAAGACGATGATGATGATAGACGAATTCACCGATGTTAACGAGGGCGAAAAGGAGCTGATGAAGATGTGGAACTTGCACGTGATGAAATACGGATTCGTTGGAGACTGCCAGATACCGCTAGCTTGCCAAATGTTCGTGCAGCACAAAGGCAAGGATCTTCTGATGAAGAATCTATACAAAAACTTTGTGGTGCACATGTGCAGCCTTTTCGACTTTGGCCTGGTCAGCGCCGTTTGTCTCTACACGACCCTCCAGAAGCTTCAGGAATTAGTCGGAGAATCGGTTGCGATTCGCAACATCCTCAAGGAATCCAGGGAAGCACAAATTGACAATTGGGCCAAAACCGGAAGTCTTCCACCAAAAATTGAGAATCCCAGTCTGCTTAAAACTCCGAGCACCGGAAGAAAAGCTGGTGCAGTGGGAATGCAGAGAAGAAAGGGCACCCCCACCCCGGCTGAGCCACCTCTGAGGAGAAAGTCGGCTTGCGGAGGCGAAACTTCGAGAAAAAGGTTATCGTTGTCGTTAACTAAGCCGGAGCAAAGGAAGACGTAAGATTTATTTTTATAAGTATTGTTTTACGAGTCGCTAAAATGTTTATTTGTAAATTACCACAGATTCTATGGAACGTAATTTATTATCATTAATAATTGTGAATTTTACTTAATCCTATTGTCACAACCTTTTATAACATTAACTAAATTTGTAAAAGTTTGTGACATTGTAGATATAGTTACCAAGAAAAATTAATTTAAATTACATTTTTAGAATACAAGTGTATTAAATGGCAATTTGTTTTAAATTAACAAACCATAAATTTAGCTGTGTAATCTGTGTTCAACATTATTTTATCAATAATACTATGTTGAATATTTTTATTCATCTTCACTGCCAGGACGATTTTGTTTCCTAGTCAAATGTGTTTTGTTTTTATGTAAAATGGCACGGATTTTATGTTTTTTATGCATATAATTTTCTTGTTTGGTGCTTAATATCCTTATTGGATATCGATTTTAAACCAAAGCAAGTTTAGGAAAGCTTATTACTGCCCAATTGTCAAAAATGTTTTTGACTGTGTAACTTGTTTTTTAACGATTTATTGATCGGTATTTGAGCAACAAATAAAATAAATAATCAATAAGGTGCACACTATCTACCTCCAATTTGATAATGTCGAAATAAGGTGTGGTAGAGTTACTTAGTATGTCGCGACCTGAGAATTAGATTGTTCTATCTCCCAAAATTTAAAGAGGAACAAATAGCAGTTTAAAGTTTAATTTATATGCAAATGAAATTTTAAAAAGCTGTTTTTCCGTGTTTAGGTTTTGGGAGATTCTATCTCAAAAATCTGACACAGAAAAACAGCTTTTTAAAATTTCATTTGCATATGGGAGATTCTATCTTTCAAAAATCTGACACGGAAAAACAGCTTTTTAAAATTTCATTTGCATATAAATTAAACTTTAAACTGCTATTTGTTCCTCTTTAAATTTTGGGAGATAGAACAATCTAATTCTCAGGTCGCGATGTGTAGTTTTTTGATATCCTTAACATCTTATTGCTTTATTTATTCCCAAAGTTTCCACATTATTTGTATATTATATATATATTTATATTAATAATATCTAATTAAGTTTTCTGGAATGAAGTCTAAACTTTATTAGCTATATAACTGCCGTTAGGAAGCACTATTTCCAATTTTATTTATATTATTGTTTATACCTTATTAAGTTTTAAAAAGCAATTAAGAGATTGATATTTTTGAAAAACTGTATTAAATATCAAATAAAATGTTAGATAATCTTGAGCCAGCACGTTTTATTTATTTGGCCTGGATACAACTTGAATTCGAATCATTAACCTGATTGCGTTTGCAAAATTCTGACGCAAGTTTATTATTGGAATGAGGAACAACGTGGGACGATTGGCAACTCAATATTCAATGGGTGAGTCTAATTATTTTTTCACAATACAGGTTTTAAATTAATTGCATTTTAAAGGTTTGGCAAGTATTTATTTTAAAAAATAACTGAAAGATAGACAGCATGTTTATTAGAGTATTTCAAAAAAATCGTTTTTCTTTTTTTTTTAAGAACATTGAAAAATCGATAGAGAATCCCTAGACATGGTCTGAGTTCAAATATGAGCTTTAAATATCAATATTTAGAGGTCGCTCATCGCAATTTTCCATTTTTCATTTTAGTAGCACATGAATTTTATTTGTTTGTTTAAACTCTTATAACTCCGAAACTGTTTATTTCATAGGAATAGGACTTATAAACTTTTCAAGGAAATTTCATGCTCTACAAAATGGTTGTATATAAGATTTACGTAAGTCGAGTCGTTTCGATGATATCAAGACTCTCTAGACTCAAACATTAACCTTTTTTAAATCATTTGACTATTTACTATTAAACGCGACAAAAATATTTTATAACGATTAAATGCTCAATATTTTTAACATTTTAAATAAATATTTTGTCGCGTTTAATAGTAAATAGTCGAATGCTTTAAAACCGGAAACGTGAAACTTTAATATAACCTTTTTGTAGATCATAAAATTTCCTTTAAATGTGTGTTAGTCTGAATCCTGTAAAATAAATAGTTTCTGAGTAAAAAGAATTCGCACAAACAAACAAAAATCTCTTGTGATACCTAAATAAAAAATAGAAAATTGCGATGAGCGACCTCTAAATATTAATATTAAAAGCTCATATTTTAACACAGACTATGTCTAGGGATACTCTATAGAGTTTTCAATGTTATTAAAAAAAAAAAGAAGAACGATTTTTTCGAAACACTCTAATGTTTATACAAGTTAGAAAATAGAAAGCAGTTGAAAATCTTCTTAGATAAAATTTGAAATGGGTTTTTACTGGATATACGGTAAGTTTTTTTATTTGCAGTTAATAGATATTTATTATTATCTATATCATATTATGTTAATAATCGTGTATATCTATACTATCGTTGATTAAGAACCCCACTCTTCACTCAGCTATACTATACTATAATAAAGCTGGAGAATTTGTTTAAACGCACTAATCTCAGAAAATACTAACCCGATTTAAACAAAGGAAGCCATAATACCTCATTTTTTTAAACAAAAAATTATTTTATTCTTTCTAACGCCATCTATTGGAATATTGAGTTACCAGTAAGCTGGAATATTCATATGTCTAGGACCGCCACTTCAGGAAGTCAGTCCACGAAGACAGGAGTACAAATTTCCTGTTTGACGCGTATTTTTAAGAGACACAGCAAAAGTAACCAGGTAATCAGAATCTAGTTTGGGATCCTGAACGTAAATGGATATTATTATACTAACTGACTTCCCGAAGTGGCCGTCCTAGAGGGCTTTATTATAATAATAGCTGGGGGCGGCATTTTTATTGATTGTTTTTTTATTTGTCTACATAATTTTCGGATAGTATTTACAGTTATAATTGAGATGCACTTGTATAATCTATATTTAATGTGGGTGAGACCGCGAGGCACAGCTAGACAACAGTATTTTTTTTTCTTTTGGTACTAAAATTAAAACCATAATATAGGAAACAAATTTATTATTATAGATATATAAACTCAAATTTATACATATCACAATTTTTTGTCGCCCGAAGGCAGCAATTTCTAGAACAATGTCTTTTTGCCCTGTCCAATCTTTCTTTCAGAAGCTTTGAAAAATATCCAATTTAACTTTTCCAATATTTTCATTTTCTGTTGCTTCGCATTTTGTTAATATAATTTGTAGTGACATTCCCTTGTGAGTGTTGTGTGTGGATGTTGTGTTTTACCGTGCTGCTGCTGTCGCTACTCAACGTACTCTCCGAAGTACCGAGCGAATTCGAAATCCGCATGTTCTGGAATGGAAGAGATTTTTGGATATTAAAATTGTGCACCACATCAGTCGTCCGGGCGGGTCTCTTTGGCTCGCCGTTTGTAATACTTTTCTTCACGCCATTCTTCACCACTTTTTCTTTTTGCTCTACAAATGGAATCCTCGGATCTATGGGAGGGACGTATGGACCTTCGTCTTTTTTAATAATGGAACTGCGGCGCTCTTTTTTGTTCATTAGAGCGATTTCGTTTTTCGACTTTACTCTTGATGAAGATATTGGCCCTCGGCTCTTCATTTGTTCACCCATTGGTCCGTTTTGGTTGTCCCTTATGCGCATGTTTTCTTCATCCAGTTCTTCTTCGTTCTCGTCGTCTTCCTCTATCACGCTGTTTTGTATCCATTGTCGAATTCTGTCTTTCTTCGCCACTCTATCAACTGTGGTTTCCAAGCCGTACTGAGCCAAAGAGCTGAGTAACTTATTTTTTTCTTCTGGACTGCTGTGGAAGCTATACATGGAAGGACACAACCCTTCTTCCTCCTTTGATTCTTCATTGGTCTTCTCCATGCCTTTAGATAGCCATCTATCATCCAAAAACCTGTAGACTTCCGCCAAACCTGCCGGCCTCTTCTCCGCTTTTGGTTCCAAATACTTTTTAAACAACCTCTGCGCCTTAGAGGTCAACAATTTAAACAGTTTAGGTTGTCTTTTTATCGGTATATGAGTACTCTGCCATGAGATGTACCTGCTGTATCTGGGATCATCGACGGCAGCCTTTTGCCAGGGTAGGCATCCTGTCAGACACACAAAAATCACTATGCCAAATTGCCATACGTCATTGGAAGTGGTAGACCTAAAAAAATTGATTTAATTTCTTTTAATATTTTTGAATTTTATTAATTGTCAAAACAACAACTTTAAAGGACTTTTACAAAGTTATATCCTATAGAAGAAAGCTTAGCCTAAATAAAAACAAAATGTTTCTATTTTTCTCTATCGGCTTTTGCTAAACCGGTGTTTTCCGGTTTATACATCGCTCTTTTTACAAACCATTTTTTGAAAAACCACTGCAAGCTAGTATTATTTAAAGCTTCAAAAACTAGAACTTGACAGATGATTTCAAGACTTATTTATTATAAAAATAATAATAAAAACATATCTTACATGTAACTTCCATCAGTTGGTATCTGCAAAATTTCCGGAGCCGCGTAAGGTAACCATTCGTTCCGCCTCAATACAATTGATCCAGCTCGCCTGGTTTCGCCGAAATCGCACAATTTAATACGGGAAAAGTCTGATTTAAACACTAAAATATTGTCCAGTTTAACGTCACGGTGCACTAGATCCCGCGAATGCATGTGTTCCAAAGCTGAGGATAACTGTTTTGCCACCCGTTTCGAATGAAGCTCTCCTATTCCTATTTCTGACACGTTTGATGTCAAATCACCTAAAAATAAAGAAGTATTTAATTTTTTAATGAGTAAAACTGTAATAACACAGGCCCACAAAAAAACAAGAGGTCTGCGACATAAATAAAACCATTATATTCCTATGTATTCTTGACCGCTGAAACTGAATCTGAACTCTGTTTAGCCCCTACACGCCTAATTTCTTTTCGGACTGCCAATGGGAAGGACTTTTTATTTTACGCTTTTACGAACAAAATCTTTCTTTATAAAATTTATAAAGAATGATTTAATAACCCTGCTCGTTAAAAAAAAAGATTCCCATTAAAATTTATTGAACCAAATGTACAGGGTGCTTAGAAATTAAGAAAACATTAGAATGCTTCAAGGGAGATTTTATAATAGAATGTCGTTGACAATTTAATTTTAAGTCTTAATACAAAATAAATGTTTTATTTTATCTTTTAATTTTATTTATACATATATTTATTTTACAAAAAGAGTGGTATGCAGCATAAATAATGATTTTTCTATGAATTTAGCCCCTATACGTCCGGATTTTTTTTCTAAAACGCAGGTTCTCTTTTGATGATTTTCATGTTTTCTTAATTTCTGAGTACCCTGTACATTTTATTCAGTTTTTTTTTATAGAAAACAATCAAGAGTTTTTGTGGTTTTTTTGTATGGGCCTGTGAAATAAATAAATTAAATGTTAAAATAAAAAGAATTATTTTGTATTAAGACTTTAATTTAAAGTGTCAACGACTTTCTTTTATACAATTTTTTATAAAATAATAAATAAAGGTACTTCTCTCTCAAACCATTTTCATATTTTCTTAATTTTTATAATAATAAATCGTACATTAAAGTACCAAAAGGAACAAAATATTTTATGCCTCAGAAATAAATATTTTTGGAGATTTTCCCTGCTTGTTTTAAAACCTCTAAAATACCAAATAGGTACAGGGTGATCCCCTATAATGTCGCCCCCCTTTAACTTTTTTATTTTAAGTGTCCCAAAAAATTTAAAAGTGTGGTTATGTAGGAACTAAAAAATACTTTTTTTCTACGTATAAAGAAAATTGGAAAATTGATCAGTATACAGGGAAAAACAAAAAGTTTATTTTTTTTCAATGGATCACCCTATATTTGAATTTATTTTTCGATTCCTTGTGAAATTCTGAGCATAATTTATATACAAACCATATACCTAAATTCAACTGTTTCTGAAATATTCGCATTCGAAATGTCATCATTAAATGTTTTTTTAAACTGTTAAAAATCAAGAAGCCTCAGTATACCAAAATTTTTATTGAAAATAAATTACCATAGTGACATTATGTCAATAAGTGTTGTTAAATAAGTAAAAATGGCGTACTCAGACAGAGAAAGACAAACTATTTCAACTTATTATCTTAAAAATAATTTAAATATTTCAGAAACGGTTGAATTTAGGTATATGGTATGATATATGAAATATGCTTAGAATTTTACAAGGAATCGAAAAATAAATTCATATATAGGGTGATCCATTGAAAAAAAATAAACTTTTTGTTTTTCCCTGTATACTGATCAATTTTCCAATTTTCTTTATACGTAGAAAAAAAGTATTTTTTAGTTACTACATAACCACACTTTTAATTTTTTTGGGACACTTAAAATAAAAAAGTTAAAGGGGGGCGACATTATAGGGGATCACCCTGTACCTACCAATCTTGGTTTATGAGAAAAACTTTCTTTAAAATTGGAGAAACAAAATACCTATAGGTATTTAAGAATATTTCTCAGGAAAATTTATTCTTAATTATTAACAATTTAAAAACTCCAAAAACTGTTTAAAACCCGTTCTTGAGAAAATACCCTTTTTGGAATTTTTTTCGAAAAAAATATTTTTAGTGTTTTGAGGTTTAGAAAATATTATTAAAAATACATATTTCTAAAAAATTAAAAATTTTATATTTAATTTCTCTGCTAAAACGGATAACTTGTAATTTAATTTTGTATACAGTGCACATGTGACCCATTTGTTTGCGACTCACCTCTGTAAAATCTTTATTTATTGTGCGATTTTAACTGGATTTGTTTTTAACTGTAGATCTTGAAAATTGCATTTTTAAAGCAAAAAACTCCATATTTGTACAAAATACAAGGCCTACTATGTCAGTTTTTAATAGTAAATTTTTAAGAATATATATTAGCAATTTTTTTAAACCAAATCTAAGCACGGCACTAGATTCACCACCCCTCAAAACGATCCTAACAAAATTTTAATGAAAAATTTTAAGAAAAAAAATGCACAATAATAACTACAAAAATTTATTTTGTCAAGTTATCCATGAAAAGACGTTTAAATAAAATTACCATATTACTATTACTATAAGTTCAATTTTATTTCAATGTTTTTGGATAACTTGACAAAATAAATTTTTGTAGTTATTATTGTGCATTTTTTTTCTTAAAATTTTTCAATAAAATTTATTATAGGGTCGTTTTGAGGGGTGGTGAATCCAGTGCCTTGCTTAGATTTTGTTTAAAAAAATCGCTAATATGAATTTTTAAAACTGACATAGTAGGCGGTGTATTTTGTACTAATCTGACGTCTTTTGCTCCAAAAATACAGTTTATCAAGACCTACACTTAAAAACAAATCCGTTTAAAATCACACATTAAATAAAGATTTTACAGAGGTGAGTCGCAAACAAATGGGTCACACTGTATACAAAATTAAATTACAAGTTATCCGTTTTAGCAGAGAAATTAAATATTAAATTTTTAATTTTTTAGAAATATGTAGGTAACTCAAAAGTTGACGTAAGATTTTCAATGATATTATGCCTTAAAGATAAAATATTGTATGTCATGCGGCTGAGAAGTGTATTTTTGTGCTTCGCTCAATTAACTTTGAGCTCGGCACAAAAAGACTGACTTTTCAGCCTTATGATATAAATAACTATTTTTTTCAAGCGGCCATGATATACAACCTTATATGCATGTATAGAGATAGTTGAAGTGCGTCTTTTTCATTAGCGGCAGACAAAAAACTCAAAAAAGCCTAGGGATAGAAGTAAATCCATAGGTGACTCAATAAACGTCAAATAATAAAATTAATTTAGAATTTCATACAAAGCAATCACGATGTATTAATTATATTAATTATAATCGCACGGAATATTTAGTGATTATTTATTAAATTTTAATTGAACGAAATAAAGAAAAACTAGTTTATTAGTATAATATTATGATGATAGACGAGTCGCCAATGTCGAAACTTCAAACAAATGTCAGTACGTCAAAATTAATTCAAGCGCAGCATTTTGACAGAGCAGTGTTTAGTTTTAATTTCGGATATTTATCGGCATTGTAAGTAAGGTTTATTAGTTTTTTTAGTTTTTATCAATAATTTCTAATGCTTTTAGCCAAAATTTTATCCCACACGAGTTATGAGTAAAAAAATAACTCTATTGCTTATCCTATTTATATTATGCCCTTGAAAAAAAAATTGTATATGTTATTTGGAGTAGAAGCTCTTTTTGTGCTTCGTACAGTTGCCTGCCTCAGCTACGCTTCGGCCGTCAATCTATGTACTCACCACAAAAAGAGTCACTTCTACTCCTTATAACATAATCTACTATTTTTGCAAACAGAAATAGTCATATTTTGTAAAATTTACCCAGGGCTGATTTTTAATATTTAATTATTTAATATGTTAAATATTAAAAGAATGAGCGATAACTCTAATTAAAAATATTTTTTACTTTTTTTTTAACGTAACTCTAAATATGTACACAGGACTTTTATATAGCGAAAGTATTTAAAATTTGCTGGCTTTGTTTAATAACAAAGAATAAAATGGTTTGGTTCTTAACCTGCACCTGTTGGCAGATGTTAAATTATGAAAATGTGCCAAGCATTTTAATTTAATATAATCCATGTTTAAATATCTTAACTTTGAACCAAACGATAAGAATTATTTAACAAACAAAATAACTACTATAATTCGACTTTCTTTTTAAAATGTATAGTTTTTGTAAAATTACTAATAAAGTTTTTTTTACCTAATGGGGCATACTCCTGAGAAAAAACGTAAAATCCAGCTGTTTCAAAAGCCACATCGTACGCTGTAATGATATTTTTGTGCACACCCAAATGTAAACCATAATGAAATTCTCTGTAGAAATCTTTTAGGGCTGTGTAGGGCTTCGGTAAAGCCTTTAATACCATCTCAGAATCTGTAGCTTTGTGCTCGACCAGCAGAATTTTTCCAAACCAGCCTTCGCCGACAATTTGAAGAATGTCGAATTCATCAGCCAAATTAACCTAAAATATATAATTTCATGTAATAGTTTATATTTATTTAATTTGAAATAGTTTTATTCCAATTTATTTTGTATTGGATAATTTAACATAATTTAAAGAAAAACTCTTGTTTGGCAAGAAAATCCTATAGATAATAATAAATATTAAAGAAATTATTTTGCCAACAATAACATTTTTAAATAAAAAAGGATTTTAATATATTGTTAATATGACAATACAATTCATTATAATTAGAACCAATAAAATGCCAGTATTCCATGGTTACGCATTTTATCACAGCGACAATATTTTTTATCGCCGTGTTTACACGTTGCTAAGGATTTTGACACTTTTCTTGATTTGACATTTGTTGACATTTAAATACTGTGTTTGTTAAATGATTAAAATAATGAATTATAAACTCTAAAAGATCGATGGGTTGGTGTAAACGATAATAAAATTAAGGTATGTTTGAATAAATAAGGTTTATTAAAGTCTTTTTATATTTTAAAGTACATTTTAATTTCAAATGTCAAACTGACAATTCGTTAAATCCTAAAATTCATTATATTTTCTCACTAAATATAACTCGTGGTATGATTAATTATAATTATCGATGATATTTACTCATTGAAACCGAAGCAGCACATTTCACTCGTCCTGCGGACTCGTGAAATCTGCAGCTCGGTTTCAATTCGAAAATATCATCGATGATAATCATACCACTTGTTATATTATGGGTGACAATACAATTCATTATAATTAGAACCAATAAAATGCCAGTATTCCATAGTTACGCATTTTATCACAGCGACAATATTTTTTATCACCTTGTTTACACGTTGCTAAGGGTTTTGACACTTTTCTTGATTTGACATTTGTTGACATTTAAGTATTGTGTTTGTTAAATGATTAAAATAATTAATTATAAACTCTAAAAGATCGATTGGTTGGTGTAAACGATAATAAAATTAAGGTAAGTTTAAATAAATAAGGTTTATTAAAATCTTTTTATATTTTAAAGCACATTTTAATTTCAAATGTTAAACTGACAATTCGTTAAATCCTAAAATTCATTATATTTTCTTACTAAATATAACTCGTGGTATGATTAATTATCGATGATATTTACTCATTGAAACCGAAAAAATATCATCGATGATAATCATACCACTTGTTATATTATGGGTGAAAATAAAAGTAGGTACATATTAGGGTGAGTCAAAAAAATCGACAATTTTTTTACTTTGTACTCTGAAAAATCGGTTACTAGACACCTCTAGAGAATTCTCACCAAACATGAGCTCTTAATTTTGATAACAAGGTCATCCGCTTTACAATTTTCCATTTTTTCCTCAGTATTAGAAACAAAAATTTATATCTCTTCGACAACTGTTCGTTAAAAAATAACTTTCCTCATATTCTTGTAGGAAATCGAACGCTCTACAAAAAAGGTCTCTTACAAATTTTTCGTAAACCTCACCGTTAAAAAGATATCCAAGGGTAAAGTTTAATTATTTTAAGAGAAATTTCTGTTTTGCTTATGAATTTTATAACTCGCTTACATAAAATTTTTATGAATCGCGCAACTCATAGTTTTGTAGGAAATTAACTGCTCTACAAAAATGGTCTCTTATGATTTGTCGATTAAATTAAGCGTTTAAAAGATATTCATCGTCAAACTTAAATGCATACTAATTTTAACAGTTTTTGATGAATAATTCGAAAAATTTCAATTTAATTTTTGAGTTTTACGAAAATTTATACAAATTTGAGTTTCTATCGTAAAAGTAACAGAAATTTCTCTTAAAATAATTAAATTTTAACCTTCGATATCTTTTTAACGGTGAGGTTTACGAAAAAATTGTAAGAGACCTTTTTTGTAGAGCGTTCGATTTCCTACAAGAATATGAGGAGAGTTATTTTTTAACGAACAGTTGTCGAAGAGATTTGAATTTTTGTTTCTAATACTGAGAGTTTCTGATTTTCCTTTTTTGTTAAAATACTGTTAAATTCTTCCATAACTTGGACACCTCTTTCGGCCGTGTGATTTACAATTTTAAGCTTTTTGACGATTGGAAATCTTCTCGGGAGTCCCTTGCAAGGGAACGGATGGTACTTTTAAAGTCACCCTATTTTAAATTGTTTTAAAAAGGTGGTAGTATTTTTTGATGCAAGACATTGTAGCGGCTGGCTGATATAAGTTTTTTTGAAGTATAACACGTTTTAAATTTTAGGAATTTTTGTTTCTATGTTAACGCTTTCGTCGAAAAGCGCCAAAGCAATTGACTATGCTGTCAAATACCAAAGATGGCCGCAAAAAAACAAATCTTTAAGAAAATTCTTGCAGTGATGCTTTCGCAGCTATAGGGCAACAAAATCACGCTTTAATGTAAAGGCTAATAATAAAAATAAAAATGATTTAAGACCTTCAATTTCATGCTTGCAAGCCATTTTTAAATAAGCAACTAAAAAAACTGTGGTGATGTATACATAAAATAAACAACTAAAACCAGCGCCAACCAACTCCGTACAGAAATGAAGCAAAAATGTCATCATGTCTGTTGAACCCTTAGAGTAACAGAGTTACTCTAAGGTTGAACCTAACTTTAAAATGATGTGGCAGAATCTTAAGAAATTCTTTAATTAAATGCTTGAAAAAAACAGTATAAAACTCGTCGGCGAAAGCTTATTAATTGCCTCGCATACAATCTACTGCCTCGGCTGTCGCCTCGGCAGTGAAATGTATGCTCGGCGATAATACGTGCTTTCTCCGCCTGGTCTATAATGTACTATTACACTTACAAATTATTTTGCGGTGGCACAAAAACTGGTTATAGTATATTATTCACTATTGGCAACTTTTGACCTACATGAGGAACGGGCTAACAACATCTGATCAGTGTAAAATTTGACAGGGCTTTATATATGATCAAAAGGAAAAAATTAAGGGGGTGAGACAATTGAAATTCGGAATTTCAAAAATAAGGACCACCCTAGTGTATTGTAAATTATCCAGCCAGCATTGGATGACAGCCATGCGCGATGATCACTCCTCTCTACTCCTTCTTTATTTAGTATTTCTGGGGCAGATATATTTTTTAATGTTTAAACATTTTCCTATTAGGTGATTTTAAATAAATGGGACAATTACATATTTGAACAAAAAAATCATATAACTTTTTGTAATACTTTTATAATATATAATTTCAAACCCCCAGAATATACCACACATTATTTAAATTGTCTATTATTAATTTAGCAATTTTGAATTTTCTAAAAAAAATCGACTGAAACTGGTTAGTGTTCGTTCATTTGTAATTTCCTAAAATTAATCTTTTATACTTGACGTTTTTAAAGATTTTAATTTTTAATTCATTGCCAAAAATGCATTTTCATCGCCGTTTTATAAATTTTTTATACTTCTTTATAAAAATTAATGACATTCGTGAAGAATTTTCGGGAGATTTCTACCTACCGTACGGTAGGTAATAATAACATTTATTTGTTAGAAAGAAAATGACAAATAAATGAAAACTAAGCAAAAACACTTTTTATTAAAAAAAATTCAGTCCGAAATTTAAAAAAAATCAAAATTGCAAATTAACCATAGACAATAAAAATGATGTGTCGCATAACCTGGGGGTTTAAAATAAAGTAAAAATTTTTATTAAGAAATTTTTTTTTTGAGAAATGTAAAATATATTTTTCTCTTTGTATCGTTTAAAAGTATACCTATTTTTTTAATAAATCTCAAAAGGCATTAAATACAATCAGGACCTAAAAATGTTTGATATTTAAAAACACTACACATACAAGGTGTTTCATTAAATTTGCCGATGAATTATTGTTATTTTATTTTTTAAAAGCTACTAGAAAAAAGTTGTGTTTTTAATTGCTTGATCTAAATATGATATCAAACCTATAAAAAAGCAGTGGCGTGACCATATTTTTTTAATAACTTTAACACTTTTCTTCTTATATTTTAGAGGGATGTCCCATTTAAATGTAACCTCTTTAGAGAATGTTATTCTATAGATAGTTATAATATTTATTTAGTTATTTTTGTGTTATACAAAGCGTATTATCTGGATTGAAATAAAATTATTACTATTTTTAAAGTATTATATACAGGGTGTTTCACATTCATGGTCCATTAGAAGTGGGCACGGATAAAGATATCGATTTGAAATTTTTAAAGCGTTTATAATCCATTTAAGTCTATTTTTCTAAAATATTTTGAACAAAATGCCACTTTCGGTTTAACCGAAAGTGACATCAACTTTGTTATTTCAATAGAACACCCTATATATTTTTACATTTTTAAATTTTGTATAAAATTCTGAGTAAAATAATTATTACTATACCATGGTATAGACCTAAAGTGAATAGTTTTCGAGTTAATTTAATTAATTATTAATTAATTTAATTAATTTTTTTCGTTAAAATTTGAGAAATGAGCGTCAATCAAAAATGGCCTATACATTTTTTGCTATTAGGTTTGCAAATATGGGGGGGGATTTTTGGAATTTTTTAAAAGATTTCATGTCAATTCTTTAACATTTTTCAACAAATTACCTGAGAAAATTAGGCAAATTAGGCTAACTTGAAACGTTAAAACTTTTTATTTTATTTTAAACGTATATATTAGGGTGGCCCAAAAAAAAAAAATATTTTTTTTCTTCTCGTCTCTTGTGAAAATATGTTGGTTTGTCATGTTTTAAGAGCCCTGTCAAAAGATCAGCACCATTAAAAAATTTTTAGGGGTCGCTCAAGATTTTAAAAAATTACCAAAATCGTCAAAAATTGAATTTTTGTTTTATTTTAATTCTTTTTCTCGTCTCGATATTATTTTTTAGGTTGAAAATAATAAAAATTTTGTAAATTTCAAATCAATATTTTGATTTCTAAAGGTCGCTAAAAGTTCGTTGATATTTATATTCAGAGGTCGCTCGAAAACATTTAAAATACTCTTCTTTGAAGGTTAAAAAAGTCTTGAGCGACCTTTTGAAATTAAAATATCGATTTGAAATTTTCAGAATCATTATTATTTTTAAATTAAAAAATAATATCGGAACGAGAAAAAAAGTTAAAAATAATATTTTGTATCAAGAAACTTGTGGCGGGTGAGTTGAGGGTTTCTATGGTTAACACGTAATCTGTCATTGTTCAAAATTTAAACGCTTCAATTTGTTAGGTTGTTATAAACAATTTCTTGACTAATTAAGTGGTTTGTAATAGTTATTTATGTATTAAGGGCATAATAAGGTTTTTATGGTCCGAGGCGATATTTCGAGCCCGAGCGCGTTAGCGCGAGGGCTAGAAAAGCGTCGTAGGACCATAAAAACCAGTTGTGCCAGCAATGCATACAAAACTTTATGCACGATTAATATATTATTATTTTTAATATATTATTGTTTTTAAAGACGTTTACGTCAAAGAATTTTTGTTATAATTGTCATATTATAATGTCAACTGACATCAGTCAGTTTTAAAGTTTAAAGATGAATGAAATTGAGGAAGCAGCTGAAAAGGCGAAAAATTGCGGCCTGCTGCCGGAAAAATCAAAATATTTATACGAAAAAACTTACTTCGAATATATCAAATGGTGTAACATTGTTGTTTTTAATTTTTGACGTTTCATTATAGCCCGCTGGGTCATAATAACGCCCGCGGGCTATAAAAAGACGTTTACGTCAAAGAATTTTTGTTATAATTGTCATATTATAATGTCATCGTGCATAAACAATATTACTGATAAAAAATAGCCAGTGAAACATTTTAAAAATTTAAAAGTTATCCAAACAGTATTCTGAAAAAAACTCAACAAAGTTGTATGATGTCAACTGAATAAAGCACTAGCATATTGGAGACAATAAAATATAAAATTTATTTAATGAAATATTTTAATAACAAAAAGAATGCGTAGGTAACTAACAATTTAATACACCAAAAATATTTTATTTAACAATTTTTATTACTAATTTATCACTAAACGTTTCCATTTACATTCAAGCATCTCTTAATTCTACATTAGACGCTGCTTGTCCCTGACTGCTATTTTTATTTGCAATTTCGTTTACAAAAAATGTTGTCAACAAATTCTTATAACAACCTAAAAAATTAAACAATGACAGATTACGTGGTAACCATGGAGCCTACGTGGTAACCATAGATACCGTCAACTCAACCGTCACAGGTTTCTTGATATAAAATAATATTAAAAACTTTAGAAAATGTTAAATATCTCTTCAATTATTAACTTTAAGTATAGGGAATAGTAACATCAATCGAAAGGTTTTTAATTTACTATTTGATTATGTAAAAACATACCGGGTCTTACATTTAAAATAAAAAAGTTATTAACTTTACAATTTGCCCTGGGTTTTCTCGGGTAATTTGTTTAAAAATGTTAAAGAATTGACAAGGAAACAATGTTTTACTATTCCAAAAATTCCACTCCCATATTTGCAAACCTAATAACAAAAAAGTTATAGGCTATTTTTAATTGACGCGCATTTATCAAATTTTAACGAAAAAAATGAATAACTCGAAAACTATTAATTTTAGGAACAGGACATGGTATAGTTATTTTACTCAGAATTTTATGTACAATTTAAAAATGTAAAAATTTATAGGGTGTTCTATTTGAAATAACAAAGTTGATGTCACTTCCGGAAGTGTCATTTTGTTAAAAATATTTAAAAAAAATGGACTTAAATGGATTATAAACGCTTTTAAAATTTCAAATCGATATCGTTTTCCGTTCCCCAAAAACTTCTAATGGGCCACGAATGTTAAACACCCTGTATAATAATGGTTTTTACCTTTTCTAACTCAAATTCCCTTATTCTGTGAATGTTCCCACTTAAGGATTGTTTTGATAGACTGCCCATCGTTTTTTCTTCATCACCTATAAAAATAAAGTTTGTTTAAAGTCAGGTCTGCTGCCAACACAATGTTTGATACATTTAAAAAATGGCGAATGCGCCGGTGTTAATTGAATACAATAAATCATTTTAAATAAAACTAAAAATATCAATATGTATTAATAAACGAATTGATTTTATTAATATATTCATTATTTTTAAAACATAAGTGTTAATTATATTTTCGGTGTGCAATATTTACTAAATATATAAATATTGTTTAGTAGACAGGAAGTTACATTATATGTTTCAAAAACTGGTTTTAATAGAGTACTTGCAGTTTTTATTGTTAATTTGGCTAGACCAACAAAATCGTAAATTCTCAGAAAATGTGGGAAAAATTTGGCAGCGCTATTTGACTGTTACTCTCTACACGCGCGAAAATTAGTTTTTTAGATAATGCCAGTACATCGACGTACTGGTCGTTTTTATTATATACATTAAGACATCGAGGATGAATTATTGAAATATATTTTTTCCAAACAAGGAAATGTCAACAAATAAATTCATAGTAAAAATAAATAATACAATGATGAATTTTTACAGGTTAGCCCAACAAAAACGAAACAGAGCAGTTTTTGGGTAGTTAGCAGTGATTTAAAAAAAAAACGCAAAGACAGGCAGAGCTAGAGTAACTAAGTTACTTTAAAGTATCTAAGTTACTGAATCTTAGTTCCTTTATTTTTTTAACAAAACGTATCAAGTATCTTAGGTATTTTTTAAAAGGAACCATATCTTGTAACTTAAAAAAGTATCTTAGATACCGAAAAGTAACTTAGATACCAAAAAGTATCTAAGATACCAAAAAGTAAAGGCGGCTGCACAATTACTCAGGAACGGAAACGAAAATGAGAACGGTAACGAGACAAAAATTAAACACACAGAAGTCAATGTACACATGCACAACAAATTTTCGGTAACGAGAACAAGAAACATCCCGCGAACGGAAACGAGAAAGTTGGTTAAGTTTTAAGTTTCTCGTTCCCGGTAGCCAATAGAAACGCAGCATTATCGAAACCAATAGAAAATGAGTTTAATCTGTCAAATTATTTCTTACATTCGCGCTATTTATTTTATCAATACGTTCTGTGTTAATAAATTAATGAAAATGAACGACGAATTAATTATTTTATTAGTAAAAAAGTTCCCACATCTGTACGATCGCCTGTTAAAAGAGTATAAAGATTAATTATTAAAGAAAAATAGTTAGCTTTTAATAGCTGAACATCTGCAGTATGATCGTACGTATATATCTATTATAAATACCAAATAAATTAAATATCCCCAAAATATATTAACCTAAGAATTAAAATAATTATGTTAATTGTGAATCTTGTGAATCTTCTCGTATTCGTTTTAGTTTCCGTTCTCGTTTTCGTTAGCGTTCCCGTGTAATTGTGCAGCCGCCTTAAGTAAGTTACCGCAAGAAAAGTTCCTTTATAGGTACAAGTTACGATTTGCTCGAAACGGCCGCGGCCATCAAATTATTACTGGCGGTTGGCGGCATTTTTTGTTTGTTTTTATTCACCTATACTTCGCCACCCGCTCTGATAAGTCTTAAATAAGTTGAGTTGGGTTATTGGTTGTTACATTGTACCGTACATTCTATAATGTTCAATGCACGTTTTCCATTTTAAATTAAAAAAATAAATAATAATTTTGTTTTGTTTATACGAAGGCGTAGAAGGGCCAACAAAAATTTTACAAATTTTAGCCAAAACTAACTTTGATTTTTGCAATTTCTATTCTATAATTGTAACTTGAACTTACAATTGTAACTTGAACCTACAATTGTAACTTGAACTTACAATTGTAACTTGAACCTACAATTGTAACTTGAACTTACAATTGTAACTTGAACTTACAATTGTAACTTGAACTTACAATTGTAACTTGAACCTACAATTGTAACTTGAACCTACAATTGTAACTTGAACCTACAATTGTAACTTGAACCTACAATTGTAACTTGAACTTACAATTGAAGGGGTTAGAATAAAAAGGGTATAAGTAACATTTTCATTTTTTGGAGATATTTGAAGTTAAAGTTATGTTACCATAAAAAAGTGAAGAATTTTGTTTAGTTAAGTTTTTCTACTGGATAATAGAGGTCCCTAGAAGTATGAAAATTACTTAAATCCTTTTCATTTCGATACGTCGGAACCTTATCTTTCACAAAACGAACTTATCTCCTAAATTAAAGAAATTGCACTTATACCCTTTCTATTCTAACCCCTTCAATTTTAACTTGAACCTTAGACTGGGCCAAAAAAATCAACTTTTTTTTTTGAAAATATGGTATATTAAGGTCTATCATCGCAATTTTAATATTTTTTTCCTCAGCAAGTTTTTGTCTCAGAACTCCCAAACCATTGAGTTTAACAAAATTGGCTTGATAATATTATTTTAAGAAAATTAAATGCTCTACAAAAAAGGTTAAAGTGAAATTTTCCGTCAGATGGACCGTTTCCTGAAAATCATGCCTTAAAAATTGGTCTACTTTTACATTTTGATCTTTTAAATTGGAATTTTGTAAAAATCAGTACCCATAAAAAACCGATAAATATTAATATATTTTTATGGGAAATCAAATGCTTTACAAAAAAGCCTATTGACATTTTTGGCTAAATTCACTCAATCAAAAGTTATTCAAGGTTAAAATTTCGTTTTGAATTCAAATTTACCCTTGAATACCTAACTTTTGATTGAGTGAATTTAGCCAAAAATGATAAAAGACTTTTTTTGTAGAGCATTTGATTTTCCATAAGAATATTTATCATTTTTTTTTTCAGGGTACTGATTTTTACAATAATTACAATATTGAATATTGTAATTAATATTGAATATTGTAATTAATGTAAAAATCATATTGAATATTCCAAAGTTAAAAGATAAAATTGTAAAACTGAACCAATTTTTAAGGCATGATTGCAAGAAAACGGTTCATCTGACGGGAAATTCCAATTTAACCTTTTTTATAGAACATTCAATTTTCTTCAAAAAATATTCCTGGGTCAATTTTGTTAAACTCAATGATTTGGGAGTTCTGAGACAAAGACTCGCTCAGGAAAAAAAAAATCTTAATATTAGTAATATGGACTCAAACTTTCACAATATTTTTTTTTGTCACCCCAAACCATATTTTCGATATACTTTTCAAAAAAAATAGTTGATTTTTTTGGCCCAGTCTATTGAACCTACAATTGTAACTTGAACTTACAATTGTAACTTGAACTTACAATTGTAGGTTCAAGTTACAATTGTAGGTTCAAGTTACAATTGTAAGTTCAAGTTACAATTGTAGGTTCAAGTTACAATTGTAGGTTCAAGTTACAATTGTAAGTTCAAGTTACAATTGTAGGTTCAAGTTACAATAATTGTAACTTGATTATTAATAATTATTATAGAATAGAAATTGCAAAAATCAAAGTTAGTTTTGGCTAAAATTTGTAAAATTTTTGTTGGCCCTTCTACGCCTTCGTATGTTTATAATCAAGTTGTGTTAAATTAACGATTGAATCTCTTTTTATTTTTAAGTTATTTTAAAAGTGCATAAGTTAGGCACTGGAACGAATTTTTGTTGGTTGGTTTATATTATGCGGATTGCATATGGTTCAAATCCAACAGCAGGTTAAGAATTGGGATTCCCAATTACCAAACTTAATACATAATATACAAAGTAACTAAAAAAGTATCTTATTAATTATCTTAAAAAGTAACTTAAGATAAGTTACCCTTTTTTAAAGACTAACTAGATAACCAAAGTAACTTCAAATACTTTTTTAAAAAATAACTTATCTAGTAACTAGATACTTTTTTTAAGTATCTTTGACAGCTCTGAAGACAGGTCAACTTTAGTTTTTAGGGGTTTTTTGCAATAGTGATACTTCATTTGAAAGGTCTTGCTCCACTAAGTATCTGGTACTTATCTTTTATCTTTCATTCTTTTTGGCGCTTAGGTCTTGTGTTTTGTCTCCTTCAAGAGTCATGTACATTTTTATTTTTTCATCTGCACAGGTTTAGCACTATTTTCGCACAGATTCACCTATTGAAATTCTTAATATTGTATTTATTTAGTTAGTATTTTGAGCGATGTTTTTATGTTTCTGTAATGTCTATCATTGGATACGGTTTTTTAAGAGAACCATCTCCCGCACGACTTGTCACAGCTAGTAAGAATTTGCCTATATAAAAAATAATATTTACGCTATAGTGCCGGGGTCTCTACAAGAGTTGCAAAAAGGTATCGTGGATGAATACCGTCAAATTCCTTCCCAAATACTTCAAAATGTTAGAAGTTGTTTTGTATTTTTGTATGGAAGTTAGTGGCAGACATTTTGAGCACTTAGGGCCGGTTTATCAATGTCCGATTAAAGTTGCAGTTAGTTATCTGGCAGATAATCTCCATGGACACCATTGTTTTCACAACGATCGATGTAGAATTTAACTGTCAGATAGACTAACTGGAACTTAACCAGATATTGATAAACCGGCCCTTAATAGATTAGTAAACTTTGTTCCACTATTATCATTGTTAATCTAACAAAAAATCCTTATCAGTACTTTTTTATTTGTGCGCTGTTGCAACTTAAAATAACGCGAATCGATAGAATTTGAATTCCCGATACTCAGAGAAGCAAGAACTTTCAAATAAGGTATTATTTGAGGAGGTCCATTCCAAAACTCGGCTTATCCACTTTTTAATAAAAATGAGTTAGTGGTGTCTGTACATTTAACATGTTTCCCCTATAAACTGAAAAGTTCTTAATATTCTAAAACTCACCTTAATCCATTTTAAATTCATTTACAAATTGACTATCGTTCCAAAACTTGCCTTATCTATTGGTTATATCATGCAGAACTCGGCATATACGTAATACGTATTACGTATGTAATTTTAAATTATTTTAAACTGGAGCTATACCTTTTTAATCAAGGTATATTTATATACCTTGATTAAAAAGGTAAGTAAAACATTTATAAA